AGCACTTTTATCAACGACGTATTGCATACAGCTTGTGTTTGGCAGTAAAATTGACGGCTAATAAAATAGGATTACGAACCAGTGTCAGATGAGATAAGACGTTTGTAAAATGTAGATGAAGTCTAAGAATTTAGAATCAAATGAAGTGAAAATAACTTTTTTTCTTTTCGACGAACAGAAGAGAGGGGAGAGTTGAAAGGAGTGTAAAGAAAGTGGGGGAGGAATAAAGTATAATAATAAATTAATATATTAGTAAAAACTCGTTTTACCCAGTGTTTAACCTTTCAATTTGCTCATCCATTTTCAAACTGTTAATCACAGTTGGTAATCAGTTCAGAGTAAAAATAAAAGTTTAAATAATGAATATTTTGTTCCGTCTTAATTTCTTTTTTTTTTTTTCTTGGTCTCAACAATAAAACTTTAATTTTGCAGCCAAAAAAAAAGATTACTTCTAAACAATATACAAATTTATTCAATGTCGTTTTGTTTTGCTAAATGATAAATAATGTGAGAACAGGTTTGATAAAATTGTGATAAATTGTCTGAAGAAATTTCTTTAAAAAGCTATATAAACAGTGAACAAAATCACCAGACAGTTCATATAAAAGTTTTTAGAAGATAATAGATTTAAGTTTTTTTATTTTTTCATGTAATAAGCGTATCATCTCCAACAAAAATAATTTATTAATGTAGAATTAATACATTAGTAAACACTGACACTCTGCTACAAGCTAAATTTTTGAAGAAAAATTTTACTGAATCACATGCAGAAGTCTTGAAACAGACTCCTGTTGAATGAAAAATATTCAGTTCAAATGACACCTATTCTTTATACAGGTAGCTCCTGTTGGACATACGCCTTTTATGCAAGGTCCAATTCCTTCTGCTGACGACGGGTTATTTGTTCCTTATAAAAATACAACAGATATAAATTATTCAACCAGCAGACAAATTTTTTTTTTCTTAATTAGCCACAACTAATAACCATATATACCCAATAACTTTTTTTTTTTTTTTGAAATGTTTAATTATACTGGTTCTGGTGCTGCAGCTAACGTTTACCCGCCATTAATAGTCTAATAATAAAAACAGCAAAATGTTTTTTTTGCATTTACGATTCAAAATTAAAATTGTTTTGTTCCACTGAAATACAGAAACCATATCTTCTTCAACTTATAAAACAGAGCAGTTTCGTTTCGTACTATGTGAAATTTTTTCCAATATAATTGTTCAGTACAATTCTATAATCCTTATTTGATCATGACAACACTAGACTTGTCCTGTCTTTTAATCACTCCCAGTTCTGTTCAAAAATTGATCATCACTCATAATAAATGAAAAATATTGAAAATTGACCTATAGAGAATACCGCAAGTTGACCTATTGTTACTTTCATAAATTGATCTTGGCATAAGCAGTCACGTATCAAACGAAATAAGAAAAAAAACGAACTAAAACAACTAAGACTTACACAAGACAGTACACAACTTTACATTGCCCATCTAAATAACTTCATTTACAGTTGTTTTCAGCGAAAGTAATTAATCGTATTGATTTACTTAATTCAATCTTCTCATCCCCTTACATACCCTGCATATTTAATACCGGTGAGATACGGTAATTAAATTAAGAAGGAAGTAAAATAAATACCACTTGTTGCTGAACTACCCTCATGGGTACCAGACGTCAGGACGCAGTAACTTCGTTGACAAACATGTTTTTGTGGACACAAACCTTGGAAACAACGACTAACAACTGTTCCTAAACAATGCTAAAACAAATTAAACGTCAGTCAGAGAGGGAGAGAGAGAGCATTGCAGTGTAAGAGGCATAATAAGTGACGTTTTCCCTTAACAAACACCAGTTAAAAAAATGATTGAAAACATAACTTTGACGAGAGAAATTTGAGGTATAATAAACGACTAACAGTCTGTTTTCTAAAATTTCTTTTTGAGAAAAAAAAAAACTTCCTGATTGATTTATTTTTGTTCAAAAATCAGATTTCAATAAAATCAGCTAATAAATTTTCAGTTACCTGCCGGTTCCCATCCGTCGGGATAACATTTATTTTTTTTACATGTGAATTCTTCAGGACAACGTCCATTGACACATGGTCCGATAGCCTTAACAGCATCTGAAAGTTTTACAAAGCAAATTAGACGATAAACTTATTATAATACTGGCAATATACCTAAAAATTTGTTCCGTAAATAAACAGTTTCAAAAAAACAGTTTAAATTAAAAAAGATGATTGAAATAATACATATCTTAACTAAAATTATAGATAACCTCTGCCTTCAACGAATGACAGGTACAGTCCAGTAAAAAACACGAGCTTCACGAACATCGTTCTATATGCAGCAGCTACCTACGACCTTACGGTGCGTCAACGGAATGATAACTTTCATTCTGATGAACAGTTACTTATATAGCAATACATGTAAGAGGTGTGCCATAAATGTCTAGTAAGTCAAGATACTCAAAGCTTTAAATTCGTGTTTCGGTGTTGGCCATCATATAGCGGTAAGCTGATTCACCGTCCTATTTAAACATCATCGTCAAAGATATACCACTTCAGTTCCTACTTTTGTCTGCTAAATTATTTATTCTTTTGCTAAACGGTCGTCCAACGGAACATTTTTTTATTATCCTTTTGTTGCCAAAATAAAAACTCTTTATAACCAAAATGGCCAGAAATATGAAGTTTGCCGATGAAGTAAACCACACCAGTCAGTTTGTGTAATTAATAGCTGATCTTGTGAACAATGCACCATCATCGACACTGCATTCTGTCTCGTATTCCTCCACTAATCAGTTAACCGACCTATAAGCCCCCAAACTGTTGAAGATGAACAGGGGGACGTGTGGAGAAACAGGGTTAGAGGAGAAAGGAGAAGAATATGGTTCGCTAATACTCCAACAATGTTTTTAGAAATACTTGTCTTAGCTAAATAGCTTATGACATGTACGAAAAAAATTGAACATTTATCTATTCTTCCTCGGCTAGCAGTAATATATGCAAACTTCCCAACTGTCCCTATAAAGCAGTAAATACATCAAAGATGTCAAAACACCATAATAAAAAAAATAGTATAAGTCTATGTGATCCCTTCTCAATAACAACTTGCCATCACTTAAACTGCACAAAAACTAATTATCAATCCTACCAGGATTAGGCTGACGGATATACTTTAAGCAGGAATAATTTGAGCAGTTGTCACCAAAGATCCTACTTTCTTCTGTTGAATAATTTATTCCTTTTGCTAAACAGTCACCCAAAATATGAAATATAAAAAAAAGCAATAAGTTTATTGCAATATAAGCAAATTTTAGAGCAAAAACTTGAAGAAATAAGAAGCTGTTCCAAACTTACCCTGTTCAAATAACGGAACGTAGTTGAGTTAGAACAAACAACAGTTTTCTTATCAGTGTTAATTTCCTGCCTTTGAAGACAACTATTCGAAGAAACTGTGTTGCGAAACCATACCCTGCATAAAATTATTGAAAACAAAATCAAAACTTGAAACTCTACGGTTTATTAACTTTAAGCATACAACGAGAGGTTTTAGAAAATTGAATTAAACATCGGTGGGCCATACATCATTAACAAATTTTGTTTTTTACAGAACTTTATGCTGCTAACAACAAAAAAAGGGAAAGAAAGAACTTTAGTTTTCCATTGAAGAACAGCTCTGATTATTTCCAGCCGGTAATGGAATCTGGCATCTAATATGCAGCTATTTTCAAATCTCAAAATTTTTTTCAAAATCCTATTCTGACCAACTAAGAAGCTTTTCATAGAACTGTCTCCATAATTCAGGTCTAGAGAGCAGAAAAGCAATGACAATCAGTGATTTATAAAGTTCGCTATGTTCGCGTATCATCTGGCGGCTCTATGATTTTTGCTTTATCATGCTTTGGATCACCGTATCCTCCGCCTCCAGGAGTGAAAATTTCCAAGATATCCTGAAAAAGATATCACAAAGCCAAAGTCCCTTACTTGAAAAGGACACTAAATAATACATTTTCAGATACACTTACACCAGCATCAACGTCTAAGCATGTTTTCCCACCAATATTCACCCGACGACCGTTGAACTTCTGGAGTATATTGAGTCCACGTTTACCCGGTTTACCACCATCTAACCCGTACGGCTCAAAAGTCCTTCTTTCGCTTAATATAGACAACTGCAAATTTCTCCTAAACTGTAAGCAACGAACACATCCGTCTCCACCTCTGTATTTACCATCGCCACCTGATCCTTTACGTATTGCAAAGCGTCTGAGAATCACAGGATATCTAGAAGAAATAAAAGATTATAAATATGAAGTCGTGATTACATCGTAAGCAACTTGGTTTATCTTGCAAAATCATAACGCGATGATCTGAAAAAACTCCGTTTTATTGGGTTCATGTAGGTAAACTGAACAGACTGCAACCCAACCTTGCTTCTAAAACTTCTGGATCCGTTATGCGGGTGTTCGTCATGTGAGTATGCACAGCTGATCGGCCGTGATAAGAAGGCCCAGCTCCAGCTCCACCTGCCACTGTTTCGTAATAACCTCCCATTTTGCCATCCCCAAACGTTACATTATTCATACAGCCTACAAAATAAGAAGTTTCTTACTAGCTCACAAAAGCGGTTAAAGCATTCTGAGCACATCTGCGCCTCCTCTAACAACCAACCCATTTAAACTTTTGAATACTATTTACAAATACCGGTCAAAATTTCAGTAACTACTTTTTCAACCGCTAAGCTTGCATTGAATAATATTACCAAAAATATTCATCCAAACCTGGCAAATAACCTATTTTGAAGACACTCTCGTCAATTCTGTGGGTTTAAAAGCAGTGCCTGTTGTCACAAGCCTGCATGTTTTCCAAGAACTAGAGCATAAAAAGCTAGTTCATTGTTTCTACAATGCTTAATATGAAAAATTTTTCAGTGGGATTGCATTCAGTTCAAAAGATGTCTTTAAATTTATTAAAACAAACGATCAGGCGATTTAATTGCAATTTTTACAAGAGGACCACTTTGATTCTGCCTTAATCTCTAAAAAAATTTGAAGGAAGTTTTCGTAACTGTGTTATCTTGGAAATAAATTCTGCATAACTGCGCAACTTAGTCTAATAATTTGTGAAGAAAATTCAGCGATCAAAACTAAAAAGAATTATTTTCTTGAGAAAAAATTATGCGGAAAATTTTTAAACTTTTCTAAACCGTGAAGACTGGTGCAAAACAAACCTTGAGAAGCGGCAGCTGCCTTAAATGCCTTAAATATAACATCGCATATGCGCTGTGAAGTTAAAACGTTACCACCAACAACAGCAGCATCATCACTTGGGCTCAAAATAGTACCAGGAGGTACTTTCACCTGTAATTTTTTACATTATAAAATGCAGCACATGCAACACCTGCATAATTAATTATATTAGTGATTTAAGACGATAGTCTTACAGTAACGGGGGCTAGACACCCTTGGTTCAGTGGCATGTCGCGTTTAACAAGACATCTTAGACAATAAATAATGGCAGCCATAGTTACAGAAGGAGGAGCATTACAGTTAGAGAATACTTCAGGCCCTGTACCTTCAAAGTCAAATACCGCATCACCCTAAAATTCCAAATTGGTAATCAGTTATAACATAAATAACTGTTGAAAATGCAGAAAGCTGCAAGAGACTTAACGTTTCTCATTTTTTAACAAAGTCAACTACAAATTAGAAAAAACCCTTTCAAATATAATCCCAGTATGAGATTCAGACTGGAAAAGGAAGGTTTTTTTTAAAAAGAAGAGAGAGGAAAAGAAGAGTGAGAAAAGAAGCAAATAAAATAAACTGCTATCGCCTCACGTGTCAAAAACTACAATCAGTTCGCATCCCTTTTCCTTGCTGAAAAAGAAGTTTAAAAAATGGCTTCCATTTGCGACAGTTATTCACTGTTATTCACTGTCACAAACGAAAGCCATTTTTTAAACCTCTTTTTCAGTTTCCCGCATAGAGACACCAAACTTATGAGAATTCTTCAGCAGACTTGAAAATTTATTTTAATATTAATCATCTTTGCCGACTGACCTCCATTTTCGCTAGTTCTACGCAAAAATCTTACAGACTTCGCAAAAGAACTTTCGAACTTTAACGACACCCAAACATTTCTTATCCGTTCATTCTGTGTCGCTCCAAGTTCCCTTAATAATTTGGTTCAAAAGCTCAGCCCTAAATTCAGATAACAGCACATTCATACCTCAAAATTTAAAAATCAAATTTTCTTCCAATAAACCAATTTTAAAAAAATCTCAGCAAGACGTAAGAACCTAAAGCTTTTTATTGAAAAAACAGAAAAACAGCAACAACAGGTATTAAAAAGACGCTAAAATAGATCTGTTTCAGAAAAAAAGCCGAGATAAGCACATCGACCACACATTGAGCTACAAATGTCCATCTATAATCCTGTCCTCACTGAAATTGCATAAAAAGTGTAATGCAGTGCAATTTCACTTAACTACAGGTACACAAATCAAAGAAGTAATACTACAGTGAGATAAATCCACTCTAGCCAAGCCTAGCTAAGTAAAAATAAAAAAAAGTTTGTATTTACTTTGAAACTCAAGTTCAGCAACCCTATCAAAGAAGGAAAAACATTAGTCACTCAATTCAGTATTCTCAAAAATTTAGTCAGTATTTGAAGCGTTCAACAATGGCTTTAGAAATTTCATTTTTTGAACTCCACTGTTAAACTGGAACATGTAATGAAATGAGATCAGGAGACATTCACTGTTAAATAGCTGTTTGTGCTTAAAAAAACTCGTCAGCCACGATAACTTTAACGTTAAATAAAGAGGAAGATAGAATTCGCCAGAACAGTTTAGTACTAGGCTTAGGTCATAATAAGCCAATTTAAAACAAGTTATTACTAACTGTCTTTTCGTCAATTGAGATTGTAAGACAAATTGGTGTTCCATCATCCATAAAGTCCTCGCCTTTTAGAACCGTACTACCTGTAATTCTTTCTTGTTCTATCGCAGTCTGAAATTAGAGAGAGGATCATTATAATTATTTAATTACTACAAGAGATCATTTAAAAATATCCCGCGTGACTGGTTAGGCAAAAACAACTACTCAAACAAATTACACTTTTCAATAATTGCCGGACTGCAATTTCAGCATTCTTTTCAATATGTTTCATAAAAGCTTGAACTACTTCCAATCCGTAACAGTCAATAAGATCACACACTAATGAAATACCCTAAAATCAATATCTACAATTACAAATTACGAGCATTGATGAACAAAGCAAAGTAAAAATTTTTAAAATAAGCTTGAGGAGACCCCGAAAGGAAAACAGCTTACCTTTTTGTTAGCAGCTATTTGAGCTCTCAGGTCAGAAAGGTTATCACTAAGATTACGCGTTCCGCTACTACCTTAAAAATCTGCAGTATGATAAAGAATTTTTATCTTAAGACAGTCATTTATCACCTGGTACATCAGACGGCGTGCTTAGTATTTTTATCAGTTCTTCTTCCTGGAAACAGCCACGTTCCACTATTTTAAAGCTTACAAAACTCGCTCCTTCCTATAAAGAACTATGGCGTTCAGTATGTACGAGAACTACAATTAACCTTATAGTTTACAGTGCTTATAGAACATCCTTGTACTTTTTAAAAAGTAAACTTTTGCCAACCTGAGACAAACTGGTGGAGTGTGGCGGCATAGATCCTGGAACAAGTCCACCAATATCAGCGTGGTGACCTCTGTTAGCAACAAAAAAGACAGGAGATTTAGAGCCCCGATAGTAGACCTTAAATGTAAGTTCTCCGCTCAAAATATGTTTTTTAAATAAAACACGAAAAACGGTAAACATTGCTTTGAAATTAATTATGACTAATTTACAGGTGTAATGATTGTTAAATCTGGTAAGTGGGAGCCACCAGCTTTGGGATGGTTGCAGAGTATAACATCACCATCATGAAGATTCTGCAGCCCAACGTTATCAATCTGAAACCGCACTGTCGCCTGCATTCCACCTAGAATTATAAACACTTGCAATTCATTACAACTAAAAGCTTGTGGTTGAGCCAACAACATTTTCAAGGTATTAATTTCAAAATAATAAGCCAGGGTATAAAAATACCTAAATGAACAGGAATATGTGGAGCATTTGCAATTAGGTGTCCATCAGGACCAAATAATGCGCAAGAAAAATCAAGCCTTTCCTAAAATTCAGAAATCTTCATCTTGAAATGTTTGAAACAATGACGCTGTTGCAACTGTGACAAAAAATTACCTTGATATTGGTTGATATTGCTGTTCTTTTTAAAACACGACCCATCTGTTCCGCAATTGACATAAATCGATGACTAAAGATTGATAAGTGAACCGGATCGAATAGCACGCCTTTAAATTAAAACAATTTGCTTACAACCAATCGAACCAGCGCTAGTTCTTAAAAAAACTTTCTGCAATGCCTTTATTCACAGGAACTCTTACCTAACCATCGTGGCTTACCTATATTCTTATAATCTTGAGCCCTTACTTCAATCACGATATTCCCGTTCTCATTAATAGACGCTTGACAGTAAGGTTCAACGAGTATGGTGCTAAATCAACATATTTATAATCGAGTTTTCATCAAGATGAGTAGGTACAATAAAATTTAAAAAGAAAGTGCAAATAAACCTGTTCACATCTATTATAATAGCTGGACCATCAATAATGTGACCAGGCCGTAAATCATTTAGCAGATACACATTTGTTTGCATCCGACCTTCCTAAAATCTAAGTTACCTACATCTGTTTTTTCGAAATAAAAAAAACAGCAAAAAAGTCTTTGAAAAAAGTCAAAACAGCTAGAAAAGTGTAAAACAGAACAATAAAACTTTTGCTGCCTTGACTTCATATTAAAAAACAAACTTTGCCGTCTTTTAAAATTGGTATTCAAACTTCAAGAAAGAAGTCTTGAAAATTAACTTTCTTCTGACCTTAAAATAACATTGAACAACACTCGTATGAGTCGGTCTTTCGGATTCTGCTGGCTCGGGTTTCTGTGTTTCGATCATGCAGCGTTTTACTGTCCCTCGTATTCTGCAAAAAAAGCCCTGAAAGGCAGAAATCTTTTGGAAAATATTAGCAACTTCTCAAAGAAAATTCTCACGACAATCTATACCAAACCCTCTATTCAGTTACCGAATATCATCCACAATAATATTTCTGTCTGGAAGTATAAATCCAAACTCCTTGAAATACAAGTTTTCGAAAACTTTCTGATAAGGTTCAATATTGTTGTTATCAGTAATGGCATAAGAGCACATAAGAGCACAATCAGTCCTAAATTTAAAAATTTTTATTGGCAAATGTAGTTTCACTGAATAAAAGTTGAAAATTGAAAAAAAAACTAGAAGCAAAAGATCAAGTCATTCATTTTTTCTAATTACAACGAAGAAAAGCGACGATAGTATAGTTTTGAAGAACTACTCCGTCTAAACATTATTGATCTTACTTCCAATGAAAAGATAGAACAAATATCAGTTTTAAGTAAAAAGACAAAAAGCAGTCCTATGCAGCTGATGGCTATATAAAATCGAAAAATTTTAGCGAACCATCAACTATGAACAATAAAAGACGAAAGATTAGATCCCATACCGATCGTAACGCATGTGGAGAAAATTTTGAAAACTTTTTTCGCCTCTAATCCCCATTTTCTCAAGAGCAATAGCACATCTGCTACGCAAAGCTTCTATTCGACGACGAAAATATTTAAAGTTCTCTAAAAACAATTACCTTTAACTAGCTCACTTTATGCGTTCAATCAAAGCTTCTTAACTATCAGTGATCAGAATACTGTAATGTTTGACTTCAAAATTAATTTGAAGAAGTTTAAGCAGAACCTTATACCGTACAGCGGGTTTCTAAAAAGTTACTATAATGACAATTAGCACTAATAAAGTTGTGCTGCTTACAAAAAATAACTTGATTATTTTTTGCCTTTCCGACTACGTTATATACTTGATGTATTTTGAATCCTAACAAACAATGTTTTGGGGATTGAAAAACTCTAGCTTCTCGCAGACTTATAACTTTTCAAATTATTTGGCAGTCTTCAGAAATCACATCTTTTATTTTGTTTGAAGTATAACTCGTTCGAAGTTAAAAAAAAAAGAGAATTTGATGCAAGTGCCTTTGCTTTTATTTTTAAAAACTAATAGCAATCAGCTCTGATTCTCCACATTTTGAAAAAAAGCATTTACACTAACTAACTTGCAGATTGTAAGCGTATTCAAAATACATCCAAAACCGTAAAAGAATGAGCAAAATATCAAAACATATTTCCTTTTCAATCTTAAAACCTTCCCCAATTGGGATTTTAGTGCACCTCATCCAGTTCATTTCCCTTCTTTATTTTAAGAATAAGTGTACTGTAATTAATTTGAAGAAGCTTAAAAACTGAAAGACTTTCAGTGAGATAGGTCGAACCTTCAACTCCGTAAAAGCCTAATTTTTACGTACCATTTAAAATAAAATCTAATAAATTTCAAAAAAGTTAACTAATTTAAATTACAGTTGGCTGTAGAAAAGCAAAATAAATTTTTTAATTATAGAAGTTGTTAAAATTAAAATATTTAATTATCAAAAAAATGGAATGAACGAACCAGAAGAAAAAGTTTTCCTAACCGGTTCCTGTTCCTCATGAACGACATCAGCCAAAGCAAGCCCATAAGCCGACAAAACACCGGAGTACCGATGTATTAAAACACTTTTTAAACCTAAATTTCCCTTTTCAGCCTTCCAAATAAGTTAATTATAAAAATTTCAATTAACTATTATTATTATTATCAGCATAAAACATCGGGCAAGTAGTCATAGAAAGTTGGTCTATCGTCATGCTTTGACGGCTTTTACACAAAATTTGACAGTTCTGCTACGAAATAATAGAAAATCTTCAAAAATTAGTAAACTCGATACCGTTTCGTCTTATTCCACAATGTTAATTTGTTTATCCAAACTGTAAACACTAAATTGAAATTATACACCTCAGTTAATATGCTAATCTATTACCAATCTTATTGCTTTAAAGCTTCCGCAAATAGTTTAAAAAATTCCTTTTGAATAAGTTTGAAAATGGTACAATTAAAAAGAAAACTGTCCCACTGTTGAAGAAACTGAAAGCAAGTAACAAAATTAGAACGGATGACAGTGTTTTGCATAAAAGTGAAAAACCTAAGCTAACCAAGCGATTTTGCAATCGAACAAGCATGCTGACCACCAGCTCCTCCAAAACAGGCTAGTAGATGTTGTGAGGTATCAAAACCTTTTTCCTAGATAACAATTTAAAGTAAGTAGTCCAATGATATAGTGACCAATAAGTTTGCTACCCAAAACGACAAAAATCCAAAATGAAACCTGAGTTAAAGCTCTTATAGGACGGCACATTGATTCATTAGCAACATCCACAAATCCCAGAGCGACTTCTTCAACAGTCATAGGATGTCGAGTGCCACCAGCACTTGTTTTGCAGTACTCATTTATCTCATTAGTCAACTGTTGCATAGCAGCAACAGATGCATTCCTAAAATACTTTCTTTAGAGCAATTACCTTATGTGAAAGTCAACTGAAAAGCTAAAATTAGCTGCTTGAAAGAACCGTCAAATGATTGAAATTGCTTCTTAGAAAGCT